ATGGTCAGATAGACTGTGTGGATGGAGGAAGCTGGGTCCAGCTTCAGTATCTTGCTGGTCGTCCCCACAGGCTGTCAAAATACCTGAACAATTTGATTGGATGCAGGCATTGTTCAGGTATTTTAAGAGCCAGCAAGGCTGACTAGCAAGATACTGAAGCTTGGCCCAGTGGGAGATTCCTCCATCCACACAGTTTAGCGTAGATGGAGGAACCTGTTGCACTTTTCCATCTGACCATAGAAAATCTGCAGATAATCTATTGCTGTATGGCCAGCTTTAGATGGACTAGAAGGTTTAGATGGACTTTACATACAGTAAGTGAAGTACAAATTGAAGCCTAACCCCAGCTAACACTTTTTAAGCAGCTACTGCAACAGTTTTTTTCCATTTAGGATAAAGGTTTGAGCTATATGAATAAACAATGATCACTGTAAACACTGTACACTTGTGTACACTGTTAGTGTAAATGGCTTGTTTTAGCCCTTTAACTGCCACTTTAGCTGGACAGTCTGGTCCGTTAAGGGAAGGTAAAACATAACAGGCTTACTGGCAGGATCAACAGGTAATACAACTATGTTACAGGGCAGACTGCTGTGTTAATTCTAGTGACAGACTGCATCATATATGCCATTTTATATTTTGCCCATAGTTCCACTTTAACTTTGCAATAAATTTATAAAGAGAATTTTCTTAAGAAGACTGTATAAAATGAAACATGATGACAAACATACAGAAAAATAGCAGTATACGACCAGACCGCACTAGCCAGAGAATTCCAATACTGCAGACTTTATTGAAATTCACAGCAAATCCAGTATATCAGTGAATAAAAGTGTATAAAGCAACACATGCCAGCACTGCACACCCCCAACCAACTACAGCCTCTCACACGTTTCGCCCGCAGGCTTATTCATAGATGACCTCTATGAATTAGACCAGCACCTGGGGATTCCTGATGGTGGCTAAGGAATTGGGGCGGTGAGATTTCCTTTGGCTATACAGAAAAATAGGTTATAGATTTAAATACACTTTAATCCTTACAGAAGCATTGGGTTCCTACACATCTAATACCTCAAACGTTGGTGCTGGAAACTACTATTCCATTATAACTATTTATAACTATTGTTCAAATATTGTAAATAAAAGACATATACTGTATAACCTCATTATTTTTTCAGGCATGCTCAAACATACCCTTTGTTAATTACATTTTAAAATTATTATCACTAGTGGCTTTGACCTGGTGAGCATTTTCCTTTTTTACATTCCAGGAAGACTTGTGAATAATTATTAAATGTTGAAAATTAATATTATAAGTGGTACTTTGGTAATTAAAATAGCATTTAAGTATGTGTGTTTTCCTGTTTAAGGTGCCCTAATTACATGAAGCTGTACTTTCCCCTGTCCAATCTGTTAACACATTTACAAAGTTGTTTTTACTTCTAATTACAGTTTTTCAAATTGTGAATGAGTGTGTAAGTAACTGTTCTATTTGTATATCCAGAAGAGTTTCCTGCTTTTAGCAGGCACATGTACATTTTCCTTTCTTTACAGAATTGAAATGTTAAGGGACTTGGGAGGATGTGATTATTCTATTTATAGCATATGTAACACAACTTATAAATTATGTTTATCTGTTGTGTGGTCTTAAATTACATCATATAAATTTTGCAACTTTGCCTACCTTCAGTGTCACTGAGTACATAGATGCTTCATCTAGTTCAGTCAAGAATGGATTTATCTGGTAACCAATTCATTTTCCAGCAGCTGAATATGATCATAATATTTTACAGTTGAAGTAATACATTTCTACTTTCATTGCAGAGCCATACGCTTTAATTTTTTTGGCTGTAATAAAAAGTTATTAAAAAGTAGCATTTCATTGTGGCAAGAATTTGTGTGCTGAAAGTTCTGGCAATAAAATTCCTGCACCAAAAAGAATCAAACCAGATTTCAGAAGCCAACAGCCACTAAATTTAACTTTTATTTATTAGAGTTTCTCCAATCCTTTTATCTTTGACCCCATTTTTTGTTGGATATGGACCCCAAACACTTTTGCACATTTTTGTTTTAGATCAGAGGTCTATGAGATAAGATTAAAAGTGCCTATAGACATAGCAAGGTGTTTAAATATATAGGTACCGGTAACACTGTCGGTTGAAATGTGCATAAACATGTCTAAATTTTCATATGGAAAAAAAGGTGGAATAGCTTATCAACTAAGGAACAAAAGTGCTTGGAACAGGTATTGTAATGTGTCTAACTGATCATTCGCACTGAAGGAATAATTTATTTAAACGGAAAAATTGGAAGGAATTATTCATTAAATGCGTAACTGAATTTATTGGTATTTATTTTATACTAACTAATACAAATAACAGTGTCAAAAGAAAATATAAGTATTAAAAAACTGCTGTAAATAAAGCAAAATATGACTTCTGTTTATATAAACTTTGCAATTATAGGTATATTCACCCACATTTTCTTCTCTATGTTGGCAACTTTTGCTGTTATTTATAAAACCGTCTGGCAATTGCTATTGCTTTCGGGTGAAGGCAAATAAAGATAGCAGGCAAATCTGTAGTGAATCTGTAGAAAATGTTCAGGCAAATCAGTACGTAGGTGAAGAAGCTGTGCCAGCTTCCAAAGTAAATGATTTGTTATCAGTGGATTGTTCTGTTCGCGGTGGATCATTGCAGTGTTTTATAAATATGGTGAATATTATTAAAACCAACATTTAACATAATATAATAAAGTCCAGATGTTTTATGAAGGGGCAAATGTGTTAGCAAATAATAACTGTCCTCCAATTTAGCATTATTGAAACCAGAGGAGTGATGAGCTAAGGTAAAGCAACTACAGTCATAGGGCTGAGGCTCATCTGGAAAAATGGAAATTTAACAGATTAGAAAACCTTGACTGCATTGCTGCTATTTGTTCTCTGATTTGCTATTGCCAGCGGTATCTGTCTTTTTCTGCCCCATCATTCCCAATACATTAGACATCATTGGCTGCCAATGTGACCATTTTTTTGAACCCCTTCAGAAGTTGTAGATGCTTGAAGGTTTTTGGCTCATGCTTGCACTTCCCACCACCCTCATCTATTAATTACCTTTTTTAACAGGAACATAAAGTGCCAAGACTGATAGCAAATATAAGTTTCAGGAATCCAGGAAAGAGAAGCATGTATAAATACATATAAAATACATATAAAAGAATACTTTTGGAGGATATATTGCTATAGTAACATGAAAAAGAAAATCTGAATTTACCGGCAAGCAAGAATAAACTTAACCCATTCACATTAAATGAAAAACTGAGGGCTCAGTTGCATGCATTTGCAGATGTTATGTAAAGACACACTACCACCTCATATAATCTATAGGAGAAACCAAATTGGAAATTACATCTTGATTCTCAGATCTCAATCTTGCTAAATGGCAAAGTGAAGCTATAATATGTTTCTAACATTACCTCCAGGAGAGCTTTTCCTTCAGGTATTCATGGCTATATATACTTATCAATTTGGGTGTAGACTATAGTAGGAACACACTTTACAGAGGCGTTTTTATATGTGTAGTTGCTTTTCATGTATGTAAAGTAAAGATACACCACGTCATGGCACCTTTGTAACTTATGCTAATGTGTTAGAGCAACCAAACTTGAATTATATTTTTATTAATCAAGAAAGTGAGAATTAAATCTCCTTGCAGTGGCCCCATTTTCCTTGAAAGAGCAGTAACAGGGTGCTCAGATTCACAGAATGCAGCTTGAAGGACTCTACTGTGCGTCTGGACCTAATACAGCAGAACTAGTAACTGGCAGTTGTTTCATCAGTATATAACTAGCAAGAAATGGAGCAGATGGATGAGGGAGTTTATAGGAAACAACAATTTGAAAGTTTCTTAGATCTCAATCCTGCTAGATGACAAAGATGGCGCTAGATGGCGATTCTAACTATAATCTGTCTCTGATATCACCTCTAGGTAAACTTTCCCTTTAAGTATTCATGGCTATATATAGTTACAATTTTGGGTGCAGACTAGAGTAGGAACAGACTTTACAGAGGTGCTTTTACATGTATAGTTGCTTCTCATGTATTTAAATTTTTGCACCATAGTTGTACTTGTTTTTCATCTAATGTTCCACATCATATTGGAGTATCTCCAAAAGCTTGTGTGTGACCCTAACATTTTTGTATGCGCAGGTCTACACACTTGCATGGTCTGCCCAGCAGACTTGTGTATAAACTGAGGAAAATTCAACCATTCAATTTGTCAAACAATTCACCATATCAAATTATACTTCTGGAGCTCACGTTTAAAACAAAGAAATGCCAATGGTTATATGCTGATATTATGCACATTTATGTGTAGTTTCTATTCTCCTGCTTGGTGTGCAGCTTTATATACAATAATAGCCCTGCTTAATTTCTGCTAGTTCATTGTAGGAAATGCAACAAAAAATAAACAGAAACCTGTAAAAAAATGTGTGTCTCTATTGCATAATGATATTAATGGATCATATCATGGAATCCTTTTCAAGTACATTGTTGTGCTTGTTCCAGTGACAGATATTTTGCACATCCAAGGAGACATCTGAAAAGGCTACTTACGGTCATAATGTTCCAATTCCCTTAACACTTTGCAGGTCAGATAAAGTCCAGTTGATTCAAGTGTTTTTACTACACTCTAACCTCACTGAAGTAATACATTTTTCCAAGGCATTTTCCCAAGACAATGGAAAATACCAGAACAAACCTTTGCTTTAGCCTTTTAAGGCAAAACAACAGATCTGCCTACATATTTCTCTTGGTATGAGTTTTCTTTAAAGTACAAATCCTACTCATTTTTTTCCTGTTATTATTTAATTGTTATTATTTAAATGTGAGTCCTTGAGTCATAGCTTTTTGTCTTCCATATGAAAAAAATTATTGTTTATACTGTCTTTGGAATTTCAGCAAAGTCAAATTACATTGTAGCATATATTATTTCTTTTAGGTGATGGTCAAGTGGATTTTGATGAATTTATGACAATTCTTGGTCCTAAACTTGTATGCACAGAAGGTCGGGATGGATTTCTTGGAAACACAATAGATAGTATATTTTGGCAGGTAAGCAATTCGATTTTTAAGAAGGCAAGACAAATTATGTTTACTTTTACTTTGGGAGGTATTTACAAACCAGTAGATTATAGATTTGCCACTGTTTTTTTTCCAATTAAAATATTTTTCCATACATCCTCTAGTTTTATTCATCCATGCATTACCCAGATCATTCACCTGTTTGCCAAGCCCTGGATCTTCCAATTCCCAAGTAGGAAATCCAAAAATTCAGTGTTAGTGATGGTGTTTATATTGCAGCATTGGAGACACTTACTAGATATGATAGCTCACCCCTCTCAAAAGGCTTTGCATATGCTAACACTCTGCACCTGCTAGAGGAATACTTTGTAATTGGTGATTGCACCTAGAATTACCCCAGTCTGATAAACACTGTGTCTGTATGTGTTTTAATTTTAAGTTTAGTTCAGTTTACTTTAGTTGCTTTACCATAGTTTGCAGGTGCTTATATCGCATATTATTTAAATGGTCATTACTAATAGCCAGTATTAGCCTAGCACTTTAATGTCAACTCTTGATTGAAGATGTTAGGCTTAATTCACAGAGCTTCCAATGAGATATAAAAATTGCAGACACATGGCTAAAATAAATGTCCCTATCCAGGTGTGAAAGCTTTGTGAATTCAGCCTTACACTCACCAAGTAACATAAGAGGAAAAGTGCATATTTAGCCAGATGCCCATCAGCACCCAGTGTTTAATTAAAAATGCAGTAAGCGCCATGTTAGAATATAACACTGTAAACAATACTTCTCGCTGACAAAATGCCATTATATGCCAGGAATTCATCAGTTGTAAACAACTTAACCGATATTGGTTTCCATGTAAGTTTGATTTGTGCAAGTCATGTTTTATGGTACTTTCAACCTTGTTAGGAAGTAATTCATTCCAAGTAACTGTTTTCTGTTCATCTGGAGCAAATCTACTACTGTTTATTTAAATTTGATATTTAGTAAATTTTCTTTTAACCATGGCTGTGCATGTTAAGGTGGCCTTACACCTTACAACCATTGCACGACTGTCGTTGTGCGATGGTTGTAAGGTAATTACAATCTCGTACGATCTGCCCATCTTGGACAGGCAGATCATACTTGCGATCATCGCAAGCCCTCCCCGCAGAGGGGAGGGCTTCCGATGCTTCCAATGCTGAGCGGGCAGTGTGCACTTGCGCACACCGGCCAGTTCACCATTTGTCTTCTGAGCACACCACTAACCCGCTGAAGATCGTACGATTCTCGGCGGGTTTTCGAGCATGCTCGGAAGACAAAAGATGTACGACCGTACAGTAGAAGGTATATGGGCACATTAAAGCTTCATGTGAGAATTTACAGAAATATCTTTGGTAGAAAGAACCCATGTAGGATTCAACTATCATACGATTATCGTACGATAATTGGCAGGTGTATAGGCATCGGCAGGTATATGGGCACATTAAAGCTTCATGTGAGAATTTACAGAAATATCTTTGGTAGAAAGAACCCATGTAGGATTCAACTAAAATTGGATTGGTGTTGTATGCCAAAATTTAATTGTACGCAAGAAAAATGTTTTCGGTTTTTTTTAGTTCAGGAGATACAAATTTTACTAACCTATCATACTTTTAAAAACCTGTTCCCTGAACTAAAAAATCAGTCAAAATCCATGCAGATTAAGTTCAGCCATCTACAAAGGACAAATTATCAATTTAAAAAGGGGGAGTATTGAACAACACAGTCTCAGTTTCATTATACACTGAGTGGCCAGATTATTATGACCACCCCATCAGTACTTCGTTGGGCCACGAGATGACTCCACGAGATGACTTTGTTGGGCCGCCTCGTGACTCCACGAGATGTTGAAAGGTGATGCGAGGAATCTGACACTGCACTGTTGCCCTTCTGTTGCCTTGTACCAGTCTTGCCACTCTCCGTTCTGCCCTAACATTGACTAGTCGCTGACGGCCACAATTCGCACGTTCAGACCCAGATTTTCGGCTGAGTCCAGTCTTTAAACACATTTAAACCGCTGCTCTTGAACATTTAACGAATTCTGCTGTTTTGCTGATACTCGCTCCATGGCTCCGAGCGCCAACAATCATCCCACATTCAAAGGCTGTTAAATCGCATTGTTTACCCATATCTTCAGAAAAAAATCACTTCTACTGTCATGGTAAACAACCTGCTTCCCTATTTATAATGGTCTGGCCCTCTAGCAATTTCAGCGCGAAATTATAGCTAATTATAGCTAATTTGCCTACAAACATCAGGTGGTTATAACAATCTTACCACTCAGTGTATGTGGTCAAGTGATCTTGGCATTAGAAAACGTACAAGAGGTAAACATGAGGGAGCTACCGTAGTTACGGGATCAGCAATACAAAGGCAGCAGAGTGATGCAGTACTCTGATTAGCACATGAGGTATACATTTTAAAGTTTTTTTTACCTCCATTCTCCTTTGACAATACATGCATTTTAAGGGACCCAAACCTGCGTGTCTGTGGAAAGATATATCATAAGAATGATCTTTAGGTTGTTGGATCACTCCTGCACAAAATTGCCCCCTGATGTATGTGGTTAGCCTGAGGTGCTGTATGACAGTAGATTTCTAATTCATAATTTAAGTGTTGATTTATATTCTATTAGTGTACAGACAAGCATACAGACAAATCATAATCTGTTTCATCCTTGTATGTTCAGCATGGAGTCTTTACCAGCTTTAGCAGTTAAAGACATTGCAGAGGTAACCAACAATACAGGTTCAGGAAAAGTGCCTCCAGTGACCAAAGCATTCTTGGAATGGTGTCAACCTCCATTTTCCCTGGTAGAGGCGTTGGCCCTGGTTGTTAAGATATCATTGAACCAACCTTAAAGAAGAACACATAGGAACTACTTCATCAGAAGGGTTTAGTGCTCATTTTGTCTAGGGAGCACAAATAGAGCTGTGTTACTCACAAGATCCTCTGTCCTGGCAGTCCCCTCTGGTCTGCTAGAGTGGCCCCTGTGGCCTCTTCTCTCCTGGGCTCTGACGGTGTAAAAACATTTGACATCATCACATTTTATGCAGATCTTTTGACCTGCTGTAACCTAAACCTTGCTGTAAGCAGACATGACAATATAAAGTATGTACTATAGAAAAATTGACTGTTTCAGACAGGTCTGCAGCATTGTTATTGTCTCACTTGCATTAGCCTTTATTCACACCTCTGAGATGTGACATCCCAGGTGTATTGAACAGTGCGCTTGCAGTGTGTTGTGATATGCACTTGTGATAGCTAGGTGTGTTGGGGTGCTATTAACCACTTGACTTCCGCAGTGTTAAACCCCCTTCCCATCCAGGCCATTTTTCAGTATTCAGCGCTGCGATACTTTGACTGACAATTATTCAGCCATACAATGCTGTACCAAAATGAATTTTATATCCTTTTTTGGGGACAGATAGAGCTTTCTTTTGGTGGTATTTAATCACCACTGGGGTTTTTATTTTTTTACTATATTAAGGAAAAAGTACCGTAAATTTTGAAAAAAAAACCTGTTTTCCCTATGTTAAGCTATGAAAATGTGCACATAAATAATCTTTCTTCATAAATTTAGTTCAAAATGTATTCTCCTACATTTCTTTGGTTAAAAAAAAAAAAAAAGTAAATTAATTACAATGTGTGAAAGTTATATAGTCCACAGACTATGGTATATATATTTGAATAATGGCAGTGCACCTAATGGTGCAATGTGGGATCACAAGTGGCATTTCACGCACTCCTGCATTGCAAAGACGTGAACAAGGACTCTTTATTGTTAGCAATTTATTCTTTTATTCCCTTACCAGTTATTTTTTAGCTGTAGCAGGATACATACACAGGTGATTAAAATTTGCAAGCAGTGGATAAAGCAGCTACGGCCAGATCCTTCGGCAGCTTCGTGAATAGACCCCTATGTTTGCTGTGTCCTCAATTATGAATGAATGGGAAGTGATCTACATCACTTCCTGTTCATTCATGATTGTGGATATAATAAACATATTATACCCACAAGTTATGAATGAACAGGAGCACTCAGTATAGAGGATTCCTGTTCATTTATAACAGGGGCTGCAGAAAGAAAGAGTGAGGACTATGTGTTCTCAATCTCTTTTTCTATTTTAAAAGGGAAATATCAGGGATCTGTTTAGACCCCTAATATTTCCCCAAAGCCCCTAAAAGTAAAGTAAAGGAGTTGCGCTAATATTGCGCAACATAAAAATTTGCAACTACCACCATTTTATTCTATAGGGTCTTGGCATTCAGAAAATATATAATGTTGGGGGGTTTTAAGTAATTTTCAGGCCTAAAATGTGGAATATAACATGGGTACAAAAAATGAAAAAAGGCCTCAGTCATGAAGGGGTTAATTTCTTTTGTGAAAAAGGCACATAACAATTAAATATTGTCAATTAGTTACAATATTTATTTTCTTTTTCTTTTTTTTAACATAACGAAATACTAGAGCAATCTAAATATAGAAACTCCTTCCTTCTCCCTCAGCTATTATGTTTCTGCTTATTTTTTATTTCCAATTTTATGATTAAGATTTTTGTTATTTCATTTATTTTGTTTGTTTTTTTATTAAGCAAAAAAATTTTTTAAACACTTTGTCTATAAATTACATAGAAAATAAAATAATTTTTGCAAGACTAGGTATATCTATAGCCCAGACTTTTTTCCTATTTTTTTGGTAAATCAGACAAGGGTGAAATCACTTGTCAGGTACTTTTTTGTGGTTTGTGTACAATTAGGTAGATTTCCTTTACTTCCTGTCCTGAGACACAGTACAAAGCAAGATAAATTCCCTCTTAGACAGTGATTACCATAACAGGTGTCCTCATTGTAAGATTTTCCTCTACCTGCTGTTGTGGTGATGTTGGGGTTTTGTAATCACTTTTTATACTGGTGACCGTTTTTTTGTTTTTTTTTAGAGAGATTGTGAAGCTCTTCAAAGAGACATAGACAAGTGGAGGTTGAAGGGATTGCTTCAAACCACA